ATGTCTGTAGCATAGGCCTTCAAGTATTGGTCAGTTTAGACTAGTCGTGAGTGCACTAGTACGTCGAAGCAGGGGGCAGAGGATCGAACGGGCCCACCGGTTCGTGTACGTGGGTGGCCCCGCACCGCCATAGAAGTGAGATGTTGATGTCTTGTTTTTGCTATGGATGCGTCCATTGTCGGTCTTTCACGTCTGTCCGCAACGGTGTAGAATTAGCGTAGCGGCGGTGTTCCTGCCATCCAGACCGGTTGTATTGGTTAACTATTCCCATGTATTGAATCAGATTTTGAAGAATTTTGCTTGGTGTTGGAAGTGTACTAGGTAGGGCAGAGCTCTCCGGCTGTCCGGTGTGGAACGTGGTGCCGCAACGAGTATTCCTAGCCAACACATTATGTTTTGAGATCTGTGAAGCAGGTCTCACGCAAGCCTGGTTCTTGGAACACCGACCAGATCACTCCCCGCCTCTCGGGGGTGAGAGGAAATCTCCAGGTTACCTCTGTAAAACGTTTGCATTAGTTATGTGTAAAGTTTTTCAGAACTCGATTACTTTTGTGGCAGCTGCCGATGTTCGAGAAGCGTGCATAATTTTCTTGTTGTATTCAGTAACTTCAACAATAGAACTTATCGTTTTGTTTCGTTTGCACGCCTTTCTGTACAGTTGCCTGCAGTATTGTAGCGGTTGTTATAGCAGCGATGAAATTGTCACTCGTGAGGCCGTTGGGGTTGCCCGATCACTCTCGGACCCTACATTCTGGTTTTGGAGAGTGCCTGCCAGAACCCTGGCGACAATAAATGCAGTAGGTAGAAAGGTTCCCCGGTTTGTGGAGGTGGTGCAAGGTCGCCAACGGTGTTCATACTCAGATACTGCCAAAGATTTGTGTTGACCATGTCACACAAATACATGACTGATTCACTGAACACCGACGACACTACCCGCTTTTCGGGGTGCGAGGATATCTCCAGGTTCACTTTCAAACAATTGAAGTAGAATATATGATGTGCAGCTTTTTCAATTTGGTGCATTCGTTGCAGCTTCCGAGTTTGGATAGCGGGTCGAGACGAGTGTTTCCTTCTCGTGCTCGTCTGTATGTTTCTTGCCAGCGTTAGCAGATCTCGTACCAGTATCCTAGGGGCTGCCCATGATGCCCGACCACCCTTGCTCCTAAACGTGGGTCTACGGGGGTGCTTGCCTACGTGTTGCATGCCCAACCAAGGAGGGTTCCCGTGTACACAGGTACAACAGGTGTGCTTTCATATAGAGTTATTGAATCTTGCCTGTCACTGAAAAAAATTATGGGTGCTATACTTCGAGTTCGAAGACAACACCGATAAGAGCAACAGCGTTCTCAAAGCCGTTGGTCGCGCTAGTTGGATGCCTTTTCACGGTGCGCCGATTCGCCTAGAACCAAGAAAATCGTGTAGACTCTTTTGTCTTGAAGAGTGTGGGAGAATAGATGTACATACGAACCAGATAGACCCTTTCGTCGGGAAACTGTGTACTATTCTGTGAGTGTGCGATGGCCTCACTTCCCACTAGACCGTGAGATCGTGGATGGGTCATGGGTGGGAAGTAAGGTTGGGGGTCACGGTAGGGTTTGAAGTGGGGCTAAGCGCTACGACACATTTCGTATTGTGCCGTCAGCGTCGGGCAGGGCTTGGACGATGTTTGATCACCTTGGGTCGTAGTGTTTCGTACTTCTGTCAGGGTGAGGGGATTTGGCCGATGGGGCGAAGGTTCGGCTTGGATAGTGTTTCGGTGACTTGGGCCGCTTGCCATTCCGAGCCGAGATTATCAACTGTTTTGAAGGTCAGCGGAGGAGACGGTGCAACGTACAGCTGTTAAACACGCAAGACATAGGTACTTGGGTAAGCCTGACGGCGGAAATTAGTGATTATTGTGCGGGGGGCGGTTGAGCATGTTTCGACGGTACATGCATAATTTTTTGGGGGGGAGTCGGTAATCAAAAATATGGCGGCACCACCCATCAACAACAACGGACCCTATCAGACTGCTGTTTGGGGTGACAAAAGGTACAAATCAATCCATTCGGCCGGGGTAATAATGCTCTCTCCAATACCAGAATTTTCAGCGGGTGGGTATCACACAGACGCTCCGTGCCGTTCTTGCTTACGCGCGAAAAACACATGAAAATCGAGTCGAGCCTCGGTTTCTTATTTCATCACCACTTGCTGGGGAACACAGGTTGCAATCAGTCGCGGAGCGCGAGGCGCGACTGTTCTTTTCCCTCCGTCCGAGGAGGGAAAACACAGGGTCTATCTACCAGGGGCCCAAGTTTCAATATGCGACCGCCTGAATTTTCCATCCTTTTCGACCAGCAAGAGGTCTACAGAGCACCGATTGATAATCTTGCTGGCATGTGAGGAACAAGAAAATAGGGCGCTCTTCACCACACCGCTTTGCTCGTGCCCCGACAGCAGATGGCCGTGCCTCACCGGCATTTGTACCCAAAAACTATAGGAGATTGTTTCCCCCATCCCCGCCGAGTTGCAGAGAAAATGCAAGCCAACGCATCGTAGATCTCTCACCCAGGCACACGCGGTTGCTTGGTTCACACCAGACCAGGAGAAACAGAAATAGAACTCGGCGAAACTCGTAACACCGCCGGGATTGCCAAGACAGCACTGGCGGGGGAAGGGAGTCATACACAGAGCTAGTGGCGGATGCCATTGCTGTTGCTTAGGTGTGCGTGTGGACGAGTGGAGAGGGATCGTCAGTAAAAACCTGGGGAAAAAATGTACGAAATGATCCCAACAGACAGACGCGGCGGGTTTCTTTCGGGCTGTCCTACACACTCCGGCTCGCAAAATTCTGAGCGTCCTAGATCCTCCTGGTCTGTATCAATCACCACACAAGACAAAGCATGGGCACAGCTCGTGGCGGAAAATTGTCTACGCTATTGCTGTTGCTTCGGTGTGAGGGGAGAGGGGTCACCTTGAAACAAAAGCTATGCCGCCATGGGAATAAAAAGCTCAAGAAGAGCCTCCTTTGTTGGCAGGACGTTTTTTCTCTCGCATGCATGCATTGCTGTGCCGACTTCTACAGGATTCAGATGTGTAGACGGAACATAGAAGATAATGGTTCCTTCTAGAAGGTGCGGAAAAATGACACTCCCCTACTGCGGGACAGGATCTTAGTAGCCCCTGCTTGAGTGGAGGATCCTGGGCCCCTCGGTGTCATTCCTACCGATACCCAAGGCAACAGCTACTGCTGTTGCGGTTCCGTAAGAGTAATAACAAGTGAGTTCTTCTTCACGGGTCTACCAGATTGCACCACGCGTGCATATCTTTGCACTTGGCGTCGTCGGCATCCGCCGCCTCCAATTTCAGTGGGTTTCATGGCCCCGTGGTCTCTACCAGCCGCCACACAAGACGTGGCAGAAACACATGTCGCGGGGATTAGCTTTAAAAGTGCTGCTGCGGCATTCTGTGGAGATAAAGCACCGAAAGACCTAATCGATATTGAACGCACGCATGGGACACAGGTCTACCGTCGGTAGCATAAAGACACCACAACCACCGCCTGTTTTCAGGCTCGAGTAATCCAGGACGAAGAGGATGCGAAAACCCAGCGAGACGTTGTCGGAAAGCTGTCGACGAGACGTTCCCCACACCACCGTTATCGGCACTGCCACCCTTTGTGGTGTGGAGAAACCGAGCTTTAGAAATTGGTCCAGGGTGTGGTATCTTATGCCATCTACAATGTACGGTAAATACGGAGATGATCCGCAAAGAGAACCTTTGGTTCACCCGAAACGTCACGGGTGATTGCGCCGCACCTCCTTTTGTCCTCCTCAATCGTCCTCCTCTCCGCCGACATTGCTACGTGTAGAGTTCCCCGCTTCCGTGCGATGGCTCCTCCATGTACGACAAGGGTGCTTCGCCGCACCCGCGCGGGCAGCCGGTGCCGCAGTTATGGTTTTCTCGGCTTTCTGCTTCTGGGCCCTCCATCATCAGCCGTGTTGACTGGAGCTTGCAGACGCAGCACATGTTTTGGCGGCGGCAAACGAGGGGGCGGGGATCGCCGGCAGCTTCGGGCCGCTACGCCTGAGCAGGTGAGTGCATGCATACTGGCGTTGCTTTGGTGGCATCATTGTGTCGAAGAGTGCAGGTCAATGAGTTCCACGCCAGGAGTCCAATCATGAGGTACTGGGTTACTGGGTTTGGCTCCGTTGGTGGGGCGTGTCGCCCTACCACACACAGAGATAATCATGGTGGCAACAATTAGGTCGAGTGTGCGGTGTTGGCGGGTACTGCAGGCCACCCCCGACTTGAGCAAAACGTCGATCAGAAAAAATACGAGGGTGGAGTGCGCTTACCGTTAAAGGTTTGCGAAACGCAAGGTCTGCAAGCTTGCCACGCGGCAGCACGGGGGGCATTATAGGAAGCATCCCGCAACATACACAGCTAGCTGCTCCCTGCTTTACCGTGGAGCTCACGGCAGGTTGTGCTGGGAGCATTATCTTCGATGCGAGCTTCCTCTGCTGCTGGCCGTGTAAAGTGCCAAACGGTTGATGGCGCCGTCGACAGCGGTCTGCCGGCGGGTAGGACAAACATGGCCTCTAGCAAACGCTCTGGTCGGTTGGCACGGGAACTGGTTTCAACAAATGACCCCGTTCGCAGGCGGTATCTTGAGCGTCTCAGGTATTGGTGTGTTTCTCCGTTACAGTGAACACATGGTGTCCAACGCGGTTTCCCATCTGTTGTAACCCGGCCTCTCACGAAGATTATACCAGGTGGATGGTACTTTTCGAAGGCAATATCGAGAGCGCCCGAAGGGGCTGCGCTTTGAAAAAGTCGTTGCTCTCAGTCCAGGTCCGACGCTGGAGAAATGCCTTCACAAGTATGTTCGACCGTACCGTGACCCTTCTCCGGCCCATGCCGCTGCTGTGTCCATACGGTTCTGTATCGTGTCTCAGTCACGTCTCGTCACCCCCGAAACGGGCGGGAGAGGCGGCGGTTCTCCTCTGCTGCACGGGAGCATGCGTGCTTGGCGGGGGGGCGGGACGGCGGGAGGCACTTCGCCTACTGCTACCAAGGGCGAGCCGAAGAAGAGCGATGAGCCCTCGGTGCCGCCCCGTTCTACGGGTGATGGCGTAAAGGGTGGTAACACGGTGAGGGCGGGCACAATGGAGTCGGCGTCCTTGCTTGCGGGCAACGTTCAGCGGCTGCAGTTTCTGAGGAAGAAGACGGGGGTTGATCTCTGGGTAAGTTCGAGGTGTTGAGAGGCCGGGCGCTCGAGATTTGACTTGAACGTCATCGTGTCCAGGTGGTCGCCGGGACGATGTAGACATTCAGCACACCTAGGTATTACCTCGAGGAGCGTCCCCCCCGGCATAGCTACCGTTTCTAGATTGGTAAGCATGCGTAACACAGCCATTAGAACTTTGCCCCACCGAAGAAGGCTTTGGTGTGTCCAGTCGCGCGTGGGTGACTTCGCAAACAAAGCACGCTTGCCTCGGAGTCATCGAGGCTATACCAGATGTTTCGACCGAATCGGTAACCCCTTCTCCTCGCGCGTATCAAGGTGACGGTTTACTCCCTGTACGCTATGGCCATCCGGAGCGTCATCTCGACCGTCGGCCAACCGCTGCGAGATGCCACGGCGAGGAGGACCCGGCTTTTCGGGGCAGCCTCGGATGAAGCTGCCGCAGCCGGGGCATCAGCAGCGTCAGGCGAAGCAGCAGCGGCGTCCATGCTCGACGGCACCGAAGGCGTTGTTGGTGCCGGTGGTGCCGCCGCCGAGGCCCTCGCCCGCGAAGCTCTCGAGCCCATGCCGTTCGCCTACCTGCCGAGCGTCGGAGCGATGCTGTTGCTTGCGGCGGCGGTGGCGGCGCACGTGCTGCTCCTGCTGGGAAAGAAGTGGTCCGTCCGATTCCATGCCTGGTACGATGTGTTTGTCGCTGATGTTTGGGCGGTCGACTGGAACCGCCGCGCCGGGCTGTTTGAGGTTTCTGGGTGTGCGGGGGCTGGCGTGTTTGATCGATGCCGGGTTGCCGAACAGCTGGTCTCCAAGGTCGCAGCGAATTTGTGAGGTTTCCGACACTGGGGAGCCATTTTCAATTCTGGCTTTGGGCTCACGTGTCAGCACTTTCTGGGTACGTTGCCGACTCTATGTCTGGTAAATCATGGGGAGATAATCAAACGCTGGCTTCAGCGTGTCACAGTTGTTGCAAGTGTCCCTTATGTCACAATGCACTACTGCTGTGCCGATTTGGAAACTTACGTGTTGACCTCCCGATTGGAGAGGCAATACAAGACCTGAGCACCGTTTTCGTGTACAGTCAAAGGCCGGCTTCTTTATTTCGCCTTGCTGCAGGAGAACGTCCCGACTGCAAACCCCTGCTCTAGGTTGGTTAGACACCGCCTCCGGTTGCTGTCCTTGATCCCGCCTTTCCTATTCAAAGGCCGGCTTCCTTATTTCGCCTTGCTGCACTAGAACGTCCCGACTGCAAACCCCTGCTCTAGGTTGGTTAGACACCGCCTCCGGTTGCTGTCCTTGATCCCGCCTTTCCTATTCAAAGGCCGGCTTCCTTATTTCGCCTTGCTGCACTAGAACGTCCCGACTGCAAACCCCTGCTCTAGGTTGGTTAGACACCGCCTCCGGTTGCTGTCCTTGATGCCGCCGCCTTTGTCCTGGTGGTATTGCCTTTGGACTTTTGACATCCTCCCCGCCCTTGCACGCGTCGTGTTTTTGCTTGTAAGGAGCTTGTTCAAGGAGGTACGGTTTTGACGTGGGCGGTGTATGTCCCTCGCCAATCCCTTGCCTCTCTTAATCTTGTCGTCAACATCGTCCCTTGTTTCAGTTCCTGCCCATGCGTCGTGCGCTTTTCTTGTTTCGGGCCTGAACAGGAGTGCGTTCGACGAGGTCTTGAGTTGGGAAGAAGCAGATGCCGTCCTGGTCACACCCGTTAGACACACCGGGTCGCCAGCTATCTGTCCCCTGGTAGGCGCGAATCGCTTGCTGCGAGATCCAACAGCAACAGAGGAGGGTTGGGAGTCGGAGGACGAGTCGCAGGATGTTGAGGACGAGGAGCAGGCTGTGTCGTCGACAAACGAGAGTGGCGGAACCCCTGGGGCCACAAAACTGGATGGGGACGGGGAAGGAACTGCGGGGCTAGGGGAGGATTTGTCGTCGGAAGAAGGTTCAACACCAACCGAGTATCTTTCGGAGGAGTTGGAGGAGGAGGAGGCAGGAATATCTGGGGTCTCGCGGAAACGCAAGGGTGCTGCAGCTGCCAGTGGTACTACTGCTTCTGCTACTGCTTCTACAACGGGTGCCGACGTCGGCGCCGACCCGCCGTCCTTCGTCTACCAGAGGCGGAAGTTTGTCCTGAAGCGTGCAGTGACTGTTGCTGCTCGGGGGAGCGACGGCAAGGGGGAGGACGAGAAGGAGGAGCGTGAGGAAGAGGAGGAGGACGAGGAGGAGGAGGAGGAGGGGGAGGGCAGTGCTAGCCGCGGATCAGGGGACGAAGTGGCAGATACTTTCGAACTGGTGGAGCTCCCGACACGGTGGCCGCTCGGACGGTGAGTGCCGGCGCTGCATGCCCCGAGCTGTCGCTGTACGATGGCCGTTGTGTAGCGAAGATCAAAGCTATGATCCGCAGATATTCCACAAATTCCTACGACAGTAGGTGAACGGCTCATGCCGCAGACCGTCCCCGGAGTGAAGAACTTGCAAATTTGAGGTGAAAAGCGCCTAGTATTGAGTACACGAGTACACACGTCAACGGGTAAAGGCCTGCTGAACCCCTCTGGGGTACCATATGGGAGGCGAATCACCTCAGGAGGAAAGGCGTCGTCCTGTACATGCGCAGAGTGCAACAATAAAATGGAACAAAATACGAGACACAAGACATTGTAGTGGAAAGTGATTTTTACCCTAAATGGACTTAATCCCATGCTACACCGAGTGATCTATCGACAACTGCCCTTACGTGGGCGCGGGATGCCAAGACAACTTGCTGTGCCAACGAGCAGCTCTACTCCCAATCCCGTGGTATCTCGACAGCACTCTGATGTGATGTCGTCCGCACACGCTGGGATCCTTTCGTTTTTTTTCTTTATGCAGAAAACACACCGTATTCGAAATTGGTTCGATAAACACACTTTGTGAGCCTGCTGAAGTGTGCATCCCCAGAGGTTGCTCTAGCGGGGCCTTCGTACATCGGCTACGCATGGTTGCTGTTTTGATGGCACGAAGTTCCATTTTTTTCTCTGGGCCGAGAATGTTTTTTCAAGCGGGTTTCTTGCCCCGAAAAGCTGGAAACGTTCGCAGCTCCATAGCATAAGAAGTCTTCGGGCTGCGGTTCTCGGAAGGGCACACCCCTCTCCCGCTTCATAGAATACGCAAACGTGTGGCTGAAGCTCACGACGGGCGCTCCTGTCTACATGCACGCTGCTCCTCCTATTGTGACTAGGGCCATGAAACATAGTCCTGGAAAGGAGACGTTGAGGAAACAGCACTCACATACCTATTTTCCGCACCGTAGTCACCCTAGGCTCCGCTGTGTGCAACGCACTTGAGACCCCTTGGTCTATCATGCTTGGCTGAGGTGGTACGCTGAGTGATACGCTGTGTGATGCCTGTCCCGGGCCTCTGACTTGCTGCACACATCTCCCAACCCGCGTGTACACCAGGTCGTAATATTGCATCGCCTGGTACTGATAATTTGTTGGTTTGGCTTCAGTATGGAAAGTGTCCCCAAGCCCCTTGGAGACACTTTTGATACTGAAGCCAAGTCACCCTTTGTCTCGCAAGGAGCTCAGATTCTTTGGAGGGACTGCAGCCCCTCGACCAATGGCTAACAAACAAAATTAGCGACATTATGTTCGTGCGGAGGGGTTGGGTACTAGGAGGGTTATAACAGGAGCTTGCCGGAATGGACCCAACGTCTTTCGTTCAACACCTCGCCAGTCCCCTTCCCCGCGACTTACCCTTTGCGGATTCATCCAACTGTAAACACACGAGAGTGCCTTTGCGTTACCAACGAAAGACCGCGAAGTCATCCCTTCCACACTCACACAACCTTCCCCGCCGCCACGCCTCGGCTCCGGTCTGGCCTGTGGCACACGCACGCACAGTTATCTCCAGGCGGGCGGTCTGACTCTGGAGGACGCCGTCACGAAGCTGAGAATGTTCGGCGAAAACTCGGTGGACGTGAAACAGCCCACGTTCTGGCACCACCTGGCGGACCGACTCACCAGCCCGTTCGTCGTGTTCAATCTCTTCAACCAGGTACGGTAGCAGCTGGACTTGTTGTACTTCTGCTGTCGATGTGGGTAAATATGCTGAACATAGTGTAGAAGAAAAGTGTATCGCCTGTACAGAGCACAATCCTACTAGCAGCACGGAGTTTCGCAGCGTTTGACTCGAGCCCTGCTTGTGGGGTATTGCGGCTTCCGCCGCCAGTACCTGCCACTGCTTCTCTCACTCGGCGAAACGTGTCATGTTGCGGCAAAGGAAGGAAAGGATCCAGCCATATCAATAGCTTGTTGTGCTTCGGCCTCGTTGCCGGCGATTCCACCGCCCTGCGTTGTAACGCCTACGATGCCTCCAGAGAACGTCGTTCGCTGGCTTCCTCGTGCGGCATTTCATGTTATTTTTTACAGATGGGTCGTCGTTATTAACCCTTTACCCCGAAAACGAGAGCCTTATCTCTTTTTTTTTGTCTTCACTTCAAATCAGCGCTCACGGCACCAGTGTCGTTTACTCCAGCCCGTGGCCACACAGAAGAGCCCGTCTCTACCCTCCCCTCGTGCGGTATTTTGCCTTCGACTTTTAATGCGAGAACAGTTCAGCACTCTCTCCCCTCTGTGTACACACGAACTAGCGCTATCCACTAGGCCAGGAGCGGAAGCGAGAGAAAAACTCACTGTGCAAGAAAAGCTCGCTTACGCCGGGATTCGAACCCCTGACCTGACCTCGAGAAGGATTCGAGGTTACCAACTAGACCACCGGGGCGACCTCTGGACTCGGTTAGACGCACTCGCGTGCAAGCCTGAAAAACACTGAGCTGCGGTTGCTTGTGTTATTCGTTGGAGGGATGGTTCCTCGACAGCAATGATTTACAACAACGGACGCTGCTGTTGGTGCGGACGAGACGTTTGATGAGTCCGCCTCGCAACGAAACTGACTTCCAACACGCTGTAGAGTGGAGTGACTATCCTGAGTGCCCCACGATCGTATCTCCTCAGGGTTGTGATCGTCGGTATCAAATGAGACAGGTGATGGCGTGAGCACGACAAGCAGGGTTGCAGCTCCCAACTCGCCAATGCTGCTGGGTACGCAGGTCTAGCCGGTCACGTTTGAGCCTGTGGCGTCCTAGAACCTGTTGCCTCTCCCCCCCTTTGCTGTCCCTTTCTCTCTCTCTCTCCCCAGCTTTTCAAGCGGAGATGTCAAAGCCTCATGGTTGCAATAGAATCCAAGGCAGCCAGACCAGTTTAGAGTTCAGAATACGTGCGCAAAGATGGTTTGAGAAGCCCTTCCCCGTGTTGTGGCTGTAGCTTTCTCAACACCGCTATTTTTCCATGTGTTTACAGGTAAGAGGGTTGCGCTGGCTCTTATTTAGGAGATCCTACCGCTTGTCGCTGATCCGCGGCGCCACGCACAGTTTCATCTGGAAATATTTTTTCGCGGTACCGGAAGCGAAGGGCCGCACCTTTCCCCCGAAGGTCTTTCTTCAGGGCAAGGATTGCTTCCGTTCGTTCGCGGTCGTTGGCGTCTTCTTTTTTGTTGCTATTTCTTGCGGTCTATAGTGATTTTGACGAAACCAATTTGCGCGACTGACTAGGTCCTGTGGATGCTGGAGTTGTACTGGTTGAAGGCGCTACTGGCTATCGGCGAGGTGATTGGCGTGGAGGCTGTCTTTGTGGCGGACGCGGAACGAAGGAGGAGGCAGCTCGACATTAGAAACTCCAACAAGCCGACCAAGAGGTAAAGGGGCAAGACTTTTTATCCAACCAGCATTGTCGCTTCAAACGCGTGAAGCACGGTCGCTGTTGCAATTGTTGAATCCCCCTTGCCTTTGCCTTGTCCGCGGTCAACTCGACGCCACCCACGTGAGTCTAGGCCGACATCGAGCGACCCGAAATTGTGTTGTGGCTCCATTTGCTCAGCTCGACACCGCGCGAGCTAAATGTAGTCGGTGGTTAGGGGTTGTATCTCTCGCGCGTTTGCACGGCGGTCACTGGTCACTCGGACCTGCCACGATCGTACCGGCCCGCCGAAGTCCCGCTGGATGCTGCTACGGCAACGTTGACAGGGTGAGAGCATGGCGAGGGGGACAGTGGGTGCCCATCCCCGTGTCGAGCATGCTTCCGGGGGACTTGGTTTCGCTCAAGACAGGCGTCGTCGCGGTTGCCCCTGAGGGGTCGGAGGGCGGCGATGGCCAGGTAACGGACGGCGGCCATGACGTTTGGTGTATTGTCGCTCCTGGGATTCCCCTACGAAGACGAAACGTTGTGTACAGGGCTTGTGTGCCGAACTTGTTGCTTGATACCGGCCCCTGCCTGTCGTCATGTTGTGGCCGGTCGCAAGGATGGCTTGCTACTGTCGCCGCCGTGATCGCCGTCGCCACATCCTTCGCCTGCATTGCACAAACCTTGTTACTCTCGTCGGAGTAGAAGGTACCGGGTACACAGTCCATACAAGTCGGAGACACCGCTGTAGGTACCTCGATGGCCATCTCGCCCCGCGGCTTGGCGAAGCATGCTTGCCATGACGTGAGCAACGAGGAGCTGTTGTTCCCCTGCTGTGCCAGGATGATAAGAAGGGGCAAGACGAGGAGGCGTTTTTCGTGGGGGAGCTGCCGGCGGACGTGCTGCTGCTGAGGGGCACCGCGGTGGTGAACGAGGCTAGCCTCACGGGCGAGAGCGTGCCACAGATCAAGACGTCCTTGACGTCGGAGCCGATAGACTTTGAGGACGAGCTCGACATCGCCGGGGTGAGAGTCTTGCTGGCTGTGGCTGTTCCGCTCGATGTTGTTTGTTTTGTGCTGTTGTTGCTTCGTCCCTGCAAGACCCGGTGTCGAGCCCAATCAGCGCATCCAGAGCTCGTTCGACCCTGGTCCATTTTTTTGTTCCCGTTCGGCCACGCTATCACACAGGCTTGTGCACACGTTGGCAGAATTGTATCTACAAGATTGCTTTTCGTTACTGTCCTGGTCCTTTCCGGTTGCTTGTGGCTACTCCACCGTTCGTACGCGTGTGAATTTTTCGACAATCAGAGACATTCCGGCCACGTCTTGCTGAGCGGAACGACCTTGCTGGACCAGACCGACGGCAGTGACAGCGACTCATCGCGGGCGCCGCCAGGCGAAACGAGCTCCGCCGCGTTCGGGCCGTCTTCCCTGCCCGGTGGGGAAGAAGCGACACGATGCAAAAGCGTATCAAATTACACTCTTCACCTTTGGAGGAAGAGGATGGGATGTATGAGACAACGTAGGGAGTCATGGTTTTGCCTACTGTAGTACACACTTGCTTTGGAGACCATCTGAGAATTATCGGGCAAACAAATAGGTCTTCCACGCCTCGGCATACGCCGTGCTGTGCGATGTTTTTTTTTTTTCTTTGTTCGTGAGGCATCTTCTTCTTGGACGTCTCACCACCTTCTCGTACACGAGGCACCGTAAGGTGTCGCGCATGTCTAAAAAAGGATACCTCCGGGGGCTTCACGGTATGGTTTGACGACGCACAATAACGTACGGTGTGGCGAGATCCTTCGATACGACACGCACCCCCGATTTCTGATTTTTTTCGGGCTTTGTGGCTACATCGAAGTGGCTGGCGGTAGACTTGGTAACATGAGGAACCACAACGGTTCAGAGGTCCATGCATACGACGAAATCAACTGACAAGCAGCGGTAAACGAGTCCTCCTTGTGCCTTGCTGTTGGATTTCTCCAGCCTCCACGCCGGACGGGGGAGCGCTGTGCTACGTGCTGCGAACGGGCGTTTACTCCTTCCAGGGCGACCTGCGGAGGACCATCGACTTCGGCAACCACGGCGTGCGCCAGGAGTCAAAGGACGCGGGTGCGTTGCGACGACAGCGCGCGAACGCAAGATGTTTCGTGACGCAGCCAGAGGGTCCTCCTGCGTGCCTCCTAAACACGATACGGGCACGGACTGATTCAAATATGTAGCACGCGCGCTCAAAGTTGGGCAGGGCTCGCATGGCTGTAGAACCGCGGTCCACAACTGTTTGGCAACATGCGTGGCAATCGCCTGCTGGCCGCATGTACAGCAGCAGCAGCGTAGCAAGGTCCCAGTCGGGCGGCATTGTAGGTTGCTTTTCGAGGGAATTGCCTGTTTGTGCGATGTCCGCCGGGCCGGAGTTAACCTCGGCAAAGGAGGCGGTTTGCACACAACCTGGATGGGATGTTTTCTTAGAGGAGGACGACCCACGGGGTGTGGGAACACGCTGTACATCGCGGAGAATCGCCGTCATCGCCTACGGCGCCCGTCGTTTCATGTGATTTTTCTTTTTTCCCGAGAGCGCGGTCACGATGCGATGCCTCATTCGATCTAAGCCGTCATTTCGCTCTACCATTGTCCCCGCGTAAGTTACCAGTCGACACCTGCCAAACACCCTATTTTGCTGTTCGATCCACGCACACGCGTGTTTCGCTTGGTGCTTCAAACATCAACACAAGTCGTGCCTGGTGTTTTGTTGCTGCTGACGTCGGGTGTTGGATGCGACGCCGTTTTTTCTTTTGGTCTTTTCAGGATTCCTCCTGGCTTTCCTGCTGACGTTCGCCGCGTTATCGTCGGCCCATGTGGTGCGGGAGGGCCTCAAGTCTCAAGCCGTTTCTGGATTCAGGCTACTCGTGCAGGTACCCCGTCGGTTCTTTCGACGGATTCAGGCTACACGTGCGGCAAGTCCGTCAATTGTTTTACTGTTTGTCGTATTCCTCGATCTCAAAATACCGATTTATTATTCTGGGGCCTGGATGGAGTCCAGAACTATAAGACTCTAGAGCAGGTTTTTGCCTACAGGTGTGTGCGGCGATGCTGCATTCAAGTTGAGAGCAACCCAAACACCGACGACAGAATGGTGGGCTGGGCACACAAGGTTTGCCGACAAGTAGTTTCAACCCCATGTTTTCGCCGGGGTGACAACGCCGACTTTTGTTTGGTGGTCGTTGTGTTGGTGCGGCGCCCTCTCCTTTTGTCCCGAGCAGTGCGTCCGCATCCTCTCGGCCGTGGTGCCCGGAGACCTGTCGTTCGAGCTGAACCAGTGCCTCCGGAACGGCGTGCGCTCCCTTCACAACGGGCACGCGCTTGCGTGCACGGAGCCGTTCAGGATCCCGCTGGCGGGGAAGGTGGAAAGTCGTTGGCGCGACCTGGATTTTTTTCCTAACCTCAAGCAATAGTGTTTTTGAGGAGAGACAAACCCCGGCAAGCAAACATGATCTTGCTTGTTGCTGTGGCTGGTTGCTCTCTCGAGTGTTTGAGGGTTTGGCCATGCGGTATGTTGTTCGAGAACAGACCCGTTGGGTACTCCTACTCGTGTACACGTTGTATTGGTCTCTTCTGTCTTGATGAGGTGGTGGTGTCTGATCGATCAAGGAGGGCCTGCAAGCAACACCCACAAGCAGCCGTCGGTCGGTGCTGCACGCGCAGGGTTGAAAGAAATTAAGAGCAAGGTGTGCAAAAGAAGTGGTCGCCGGTGATCCTTTCAATTGCAACCAACCTGGATAAGCAATGATGTGAGCAACCAAACGAAGCGCGATCACAGCCAAGAGCGGATGGCATCCTATTTCACACGATTTTCCGGCACGATCGCTGTGTTCGGCGGCGCTGTGGTGTACCTTCCTTGTTGTCCGTTCGACTTCAACTAGCCGCGTAGCCAAGATTAAAGGGATTCATGCCCACCTTGTGCCACGAAAGATTGAGTGTTTGAAGGCGTTTCGGCGCCATTCTACGGCGCTCACGTGCCGAAATCGGTCTCACTCTCGCCTGTTGGTTTTTCCCAAGTGACGGGTTAGCGTTGCAGCTCGACGTGTCTATCTACAATATGAGTGTTGACGCGTGCGGTTGTTCGGTACCATTGATTCCCGCCGCTTGTATCGTCCCGTCCCTCGGCCTTGCCCACCCCGGTACCGGCTTTCCGCCTCCGCGGGGCCGCTGCAGGTGGACGTGTGCCTGTTCGACAAAACGGGGACTATCACCTCGGACAAGCTCCGGGCAGAGACTCTAGTGACCCCACAGTCTCTCCGTCCCAACAGCCCCCCAGTAGCTGTCAGCCTGGGCCATTCGGCCCGAAGCGGCGGGACTGCTGCCGGTTTGGAGCGACCGGGACTTGCGGCCGAGGTGAGAAAGAGCGCACGTAGAGGACGGCGGGAGCGGTGACGAAGAGTTTAGTGTCTCCTGCGTCGGTGTTGAGCACGTCGTCTACTGCCAGCGTTACTTTCTTTGTGTGTACGGATTTAGACCCGCGTGTGAACGATTGTCTCACGCAAAGTCTTCGCCTTTTCGTGTGAATAGTGGAGGCAAAGGGACACACGTTTTGGGGCGGTATACCTCTTTCCTGNGGTCAAGCACCCTCGAGGCAGTTACACAGTGTTTACAACTGTCTCTGGAAGTGAAAGCACCAGCAAATAAATTAATTCATACGCAGCTGTCATCCGTACGCAAGGAAGTAAGCACAAGATGCCGAAAACCCATAGCAGGATGCAGCGCACCCTCCATGCGACTCGCCGAATGCCTCACGGCGCTTCGCGCCTGGTGATGTGAGAGTCTGGTCCGGTGAGAACCCGGCGTGCTCCGCCCCGGCTTTGTAGGGATGCGAGGTCAATGGTCAAACGACTACGGCATGCACGACTGAGTACGCCCCCCCCCCCTTCGTGCCCCCGGTGTTTGCCAT